TTTCACTTTTGAATAGAGTAGATGTAGATAAACTCAGTCACCAGTGTTGATTGCAGTGGATTATGGTAATTCAAGACTAGTCGCATCACTACACAAGCTTACTTCTTTTTCTGTTTGGAACACTAATCACGCATGCATTCACGTAGTTTCCACAATTGGGAGCTTAATACTAGTCTGTAAGTGATCAAACATTGAAGAACACCTCTTCAATATGCTAAAGGCGTGATAAGGGTAGATATCTAACCTCGCTTGTCATATACCCATGAGCCGGTCGACGCCATAAGCCGCAAGTTTAATGATGTAACTCTATTTCAATTTGAATTTTTCAATGAAACTTTAATTTCCCTACCCCCTGTCTTTAAACGGCAGTTTTTGATATGTGTATATTCTTTGGGATAGGAGCGGTAAACGTTTTGTAAACAGGAGCGATGTTTGTAAAGCTTTGTCACGTGTGAGCGTGTGACTATTTGGCGAATGAAGATTATTAAGACGGATTCCGCTCAAATAAGTGCAAAAATTATTTACTAAATGTCTACTCACAACACGGTAACTTTTTGAATACTATTTGAAACATCTCACCCTAATTCATTTCTCCACGTGACTCCGCGATTAAACCCCAAAATATTCTCGAAAAAGCTAATGTCAAACGTCGTCAAAATGTTTAATGCGTGTGTTATTGTGTTTTAACTAACGGGAAACGTCCATTTTAATTGAAATATGGATAACTTCAAGTTCAATTTTCTCTCGCGGGGTCAGCTTGAGATCTTAAGTCTCGATAAGTTCTTCTTACCTTTATTAAAAATATTACCATGCTATGAGGGTTTTTTGGTAACTTTATTTTTGCCATTATTGCTCGAATGTTGTGCGGAAATCATCTTATTATAAAAATCTTTATTGTTTTCATTCGCCAAAGGTCAGTGAGCGAACTAAACTCTATAACTAAGATCTCACGCCACCTTCAAGCGGGAGATAGACGGGTGATGAAATATCCTATGTTTTTATTTGTAATGCATTTTTATCCCTCCTCCCCCCTTTTTTTTTCGGCCGTTACTCCGTCATTATCTCTCTGGTACTTAAGTTTTGTATAACCAAAATGGCCACCCCGCGTGAGTTTTGCAGGGGCACGTCACGGCCAGTAAACTGGTACGACATGTGATTACATGTGATAAGACGTGTGGCGAACATGTGAGCATGTAAGCAGGCCATGTGAGCTCGTCTTTGCACTGGATCTTTCTTCGACCTCTTTCCATTTAGTCGCCGTAGGCTTCGCTATTTTGTGCTCTCAGCGTTGAATTTTTGGTAAATTTAAACGCTTCGACGGTAGCATTTATCGAAATCTGAGGGAATTGTCCTTTGTTTTATACTTTATATGTTAACGAACAACACGACTTTGGGTTGCCTTTGTTTTGATTGCATTTGTTGATTTAATAGTTCCAGTCGAGACAGATACATGTAGCTCAGTCTTTATCCGGTCGAATATTGTTTGGAATCGGTGGAAAAGTACTCTTAAGGCAAGATCCATAAGGGTGAGCCTGAACCAAGGAACGGCAAGTTACATAAATACTCAGATCAGTTGCACGTAGTTTGTTTACAATAAACGAGCACGCGATTGCAAATGTTTGCTGATATTTGTCCTTCCAGCTTAAAATAATATTCGTAAAATATAGTTTTACAAATTAGCTTTCGCTTTAGCATTACCAGTTAATGTGAGAATGTTTAGCACGAAATTTGAAGGCTATAAATGTAAATGTTTTAGTACTACTAAACTTGTGAGTCTACGGAACTGGCGCAGCTTGACGCTGTCACGCAAGGTGTCAACAAATCATAGTTTGTACAGGGGACCTCTTAAACTGGCATGGACTTTGACGCTATGATATATCTGTCTGTAAAACCTCGTTTGTCGATGAAAAACGTTGATTTTAGCAATAGACAGAGGCTGAAAGTCAGCTAGTGAAACCACATATTTAAGGTATATATACTATGACGGCGTCGAACGCACCCTCATAATCTTTGATAAACTACTAGTTGTAAATGTAATTATAGGTATAAAGGAAGACATAGCCTGAGATGTCCGTCACATGCCGTCAGCTTCCGCCCTCAGCCTAATCCCCGGGCGGGAGATGACTGACATTTCAGGCTAGGAAACACAGTTTTACGTGAACGTTTTGCACGCTAGGTGTACAATTATATTCTTAACAATTCATCGCGCTTGGCACTGACATTTTGTACTTGATATTTACTATTATTGAGAACGATGAAACGTTTAAAAAAA